GAAAGGACAGAACCTTTATAAATAGCACATTAGAATCTGTGGTTGTAGCTAAGATAGTGCTTAGGGGGAAATCAAAATATTGAATGTTCGTATGAGAAAAAAGAAAACTGCAAATCAGTAATTACCAAATGTTTGTTTATATCCACAGAAATGCTACTCTCATCTCTATTTTCAGAAGCTGTTCTTTCTAATGACTGACTGCAGAGCTGGGCAGCTGCTTGCACCATTGAAAGTAAGTGACAGTTAAGTGTTCATCCCTAAATAGGGCATTTATACCCCTCCTCCTAAGGCTTAGGGAACATTTGGAAGAGAGAGGAGAAAGAGCGTACAAATCAGAGATGTGGAAAAGGGCTATGAAATGTTGCCTTTGGAGAAGGCATGACCACTGCAAATATGATCTCATAAGAGTGCTTGTTGTCTATAATGAACCTACATAACACTAAGCTTGTCAACAGTCAGTCATGGATGGGGAGGTATTCAGGGGTTACCACCTCCTGCTGAACTATTGACTAATGATGGATTATAGGGGAGGTGCTGGCCATGGTCTTCAGTTGTGACTCTATGTTGAGGAGAGGCTCCAATAAATGATTCCAAGACCATGGTTACACAAATGACCCTGGTTAAACTCAGTTGGGGGAGAAAAAGAAAGAAAAAAAGAAAGGGAAAAGAAAATGAATGGAAGAAAGAAACTCACGAGAATGTTAATTCTCTGTGTTGGAAGAGAGATTGATTCGATACTGTGAAGGTTACAGTAATCTGAATCTACTCATGATGAATAATTTCTGTCAACCTGTCACAAGCTAGAGTCTTCTGGGAAAAGAGAGTCTTAGCTGAGAAAATGTCTCCATCAGAAGAGTCTATAGGGAAGTTTGAGTGACACTATAGTATAACCAATTTAAGCTTATTCCCAACTATCTTACAAATAAATGAGACTCAGACTATGGCTATTTTTTTGGCTTTTAGAATTACTGTGGGGTAACTACTCATAACTACTGGCCTGTGTACCACCGCAGTGTTGTACCAGATACTTGTTATTTTTTCTGTTCATGTGCTGATGGTTCCTCTCCCCTCATGATGGCTTCCTCCTCTCTTTCATTCTTCCTCCTCCCTTCTCCCTTTCTCCCACAACAAGGTTATTCCAAACTTACCTTCCTCTAATCCCTCCAGTAATTGGCTGTAGCCACTTTTATTTAGCCAATAGTTTTAGATGAAGGAACAAAGTTTGCTCTACAAAAGCTTGTAAACTTGAGAAGTCACATATAGGCCTAGACTTTCGGGAAATTCAGCATTACAATACACAGCAACAGACCAAACCTCAACAGGACACTTTCTTCAATAATCTTTGATGAGGGAAGGATCAGCCTACTGTGAATGGTGCCATCCTCAGGCAGATAATCCTGGGTTGTCCAAGAAAGCATGTTGAGATAGCCATGGGAAGCAAGCCAGTAAGCCTAACTCCTCCATGGACTTTGTTGTTTTCTGCCTTTATGTTCCGTCTTTGAGCTTTCTTTGGTGATAGACTCTAAAGTATAAGCCAAATAAATCATTTTCTCCCCAAGTTGGTTTTGGTTGTTGCATTTATTACAGCAGCAGAAAGCAAACTAGGAGAGAAATTGTTTCCAGAGAGTAGGATGTTGATGTGATGGATCTTATCATGTGTTTGGGGGATTGTTGCAGAAGCCTTTGTAATTTGGGGCTGGAAAAGCCATTGAGCACTCAGAGCTTAGTGACCTGTTCTGTTGGGGGTTGCCATGTACTACTGAGAACAATACAGACAATGAAGTGTGGCTTGTGAAGTTTCAGATAGAAGTTTGTGATCCTTCAAAGATTACATTGGCTCCTTTTGTGTTATATTTTGAGTTAAGAATGTTCATAGCAGCCTTATTTATAATAGCCAGAAGCTGGAAAGAACCCAGATGTCCTTCAACAGAGGAATGGATACAGAAAATGTGGTACATTTACACAATGGAATATTACTCAGCTATTAAAAACAATGAATTCGAGAAATTCTTAGGTATATGGATGGACCTAGAAAATATCATCCTCAGTGAGATAACCCAATTGCAAAAGAACACACATGATATGCATTCACTGATAATTGGATATTAGCCCCAAAGCTGACAATATCCAAAATACAATTCACAGACCACATGAAGCTCATGAACAAGGAAGACCAAAGTGTGGGTGCTTTGGCCCTTCTTAGAAGGGGTAGCAAAATACGCATGGGAGCAAATATGGAGACAAAGCGTGAGACAGAAACTGAAGGAGGGGCCGTCTAGAGACTACTTCACCTGGGTATCCATCCCTTGTGCAGTCACCAAAGGAAGACACTGATGTGGATGTCAGGAAGTACATGCTGACAAGAGCCTGATATAACTGTCCTCCTTAGAGGTCTGCCAGAGCCTGAAATATACAGAGGTGGATGCTCACAGCTAACCATTGAGCTGATCATGGGGTTCCCAACTAGAGAAGATAGAGAGAAGACTGAAGGAGCTGAAGGGGTTTGCAGCCCCATGAGGAGAGCAACAATACCAACCAACCAGAGCTCCCAGGGTCTAAACCACCAGCCTGAGAGCACACAGGGAGGGACCATGGCTCCAGCTTATATGTAGGGAAAGATGACAATGTCAGGCATAGGTGGGTGAGGAAGTCCTTGGTCCAGTGAAGGCTGGATGCCCCAGCGTGGGGGAAATCATGGGTGGGGAGGTGAGAGTGGGAGAGTGGGTGGAGGAATATCCTCATAGAAGCAGGAGGAGAGGGGATGGCATAGGGGGTTCCTGAGTGGGGGGAAGGGGATTACATCTGAAATGTAAATAAAATATCCAATAAAAAATTAAAAAAAAAAGAATGTGTGGTTTTGTTCAGCTGGGGCTGATAAATCAGCATCAACAAGAGAGCAGCACTACTGAAGGAGAAGCTCTGCTTTCCTAGAATGTTGGATGCTGGTTTCTGGGGCTGAAAAAATCAGCTGTTTTCAACAAGAGACCAGCATCACTCAGGTGAAACTTTCTGTGAAGTGTTTCCTCAGGGCCAGTGCACAGAAGCTGTAGTTCAGGGGAGCAAAGGCTTTATCTCATGTTGGCAGCTGAGCTTGGTACGTGTAAGAGACTACAGAATGTTTGTTTTGTTTTTGTTTTGTATTTGTTTTGAAGGCATGAAGCAGTCATAGAGAGCAGTTGAGGCTAGGTATCATGTGACTAGGATGGAGTCTTGTCAAGAATCCCAGAAGCCATTTGTTAAGGTTCAGCCTTAGTTGAAGTGGAGGTCTGAGGATTGAAGGGGTCATGGAGAGAAGCTAAGGTTTGCCAACAAGTAGCCGGGTCCAAATCTCTATAGTGAAGTCAGGAGTCTATTGGTGGATATTCTGCCTCAGTTACAGCATACATCCCAGCATATTAAAGACGCTAAGATCATGGGATGCCCACCAAAAGGATGCCAAAGGCAAAGATGTGGGGCTTCTCAAGCTCTGTGGAAGCCACAAGATTACAAATAAGTCCCAGACATCAGACACTGAGTTAGTTTCATTGTTGGAGTTTGGCTTCACTTTGACCTAACTGCAGCTGTGCCCTACTTTTTCCCTCTTGGAAAAAAAGTTGTCAAAAACAAATTTATTCAATGTGAAAAAAGAATGATGCTGTCAATGACCTAAACTGAGTGCAAAGGCAATTTTTTTCTTATTTTTGTATTATTATGTTTTATTATTTTAGTTATAAAATATTATATTTTATTTATTCATTGAACTTTTGGTACATGTTTACAATATATTCTGGTCATATCCACCCTTTATAAGTTTCTCTAACTTCCCCTAAGACCCACCAGAGTGTCTTACTCTAGACTCCATATACTCTTCCTTATTCATATGAGTAAGAGCTCATGCAGTCAGATTAATGCTATCTGGAAAATGGGTATGGAAATATCCACTAGAATCTGGACAAACTACCAGCACCAATATCTCTAAACAAAGGTAATTCTCTCTCCCTTACTAACCAACAAATGCCAATAGCTCCTGTGCTAGGGGTGGGGCTTCATGAGCTTCTCTCCTTTCCATGCTAGGATGTTGAATGGCTTTGTCTTGTATGGGTATTGAGCAGGCACCCATAGCTGGTGTGGATTGACTTGAGTATCAGCTCAGTCTTGTCCAGAGGACAGCATTTCACACTTCTTCCTCCCATCCTCCTGTACTTACATTCTTTCTCCTCTCTCTTCCTCAGTGTTCCCTGAGCTTTGATGTAAAGAGGGGTTTTTTTTTTTTACAGGCAATTCATCCACAGATGAGCACTTGTTGCCATTTTCATTGAAAAAAGGAAGTTGAAAATGAAGGCCAATTTATGAGAAAGCATAGCACATGTGCTGTCATGTGCGCACACACAAACACACACACACCACAAATATGCACACAGACGTGCATGAAAACAAATTGTCAATACATGAATGATAAAGAAAATATCAATACAACTCCTAAAGACATTTAAAAAGACAATCAGAAAATGTTAAAAGCAGCATATTACAGAGATCTCCAAAGACAGAAGTCATAGAGTCACATAGAAACTAAGTAATCAAACAAACTCTAATATTAACACATCAAGTAGAAAATAAATTACAAAAACTCACTCGTGACACAGAAACTAAGCCAATTCTATAACATTTGACATTCAAATTTACACACACACACACACACACACACACACACACACACACACACCACGGTGAATTGTGCAGATACAATACTGTTTAAATCAGTGAGTGAAGCAAGAGAAATTATCAATTCTTTTTATCCTGTTCTGAAGTTTAGAGAAGAATGTACATTTAATTTATTTTTAACAGCCAGCATTAGACAGATAACAGAATTAGTAATATAAAAATATGCCAATATCCACCTAGAACTCAGATATATCACTAAAAAATTAGCAATTTAAATACAGCGAATGTACAACAAATGAATGCATATTGACTGAGGAGGGTCTAGGTTTGAAATAAAGAGTTGGATCAACAAATATTACCTGTCTTATTGGTGCACTTTTTTCCCAAAAGTTTGTTTACTGTACAGTAGAGGTCATCCATGCAAAGACACTCTTTAAATTGGAATTTGTTTTCTACCAAAGACTGGATACTCTGTTTACAATGCAATGAGTTATTTATCTTGCAGGAGTCACCTAGATTTCATAATCACATAAAACACAAGATATTAATCTGGATATGAATTATTTCTTCTTCCTACAGGACTCATAATACATCAGCCCAAGAAATCGATGAGTTTAGTGAGATTATCCTGTTTTGCTAAATGTTCTTCATAAAAGTAACCATTCTCTCCAAGATTTTTAACCATAGATGAAAATACTATTGGCTGTGGGATTCATTTTAATATGTAAATATTAAGTTTGTTATGGGGACAATACTCAAAGTACCAGGTCCCTTGGTCCTTAATTTACTCAGAGAGCTCCAAAGTGCTCCTATATTTTGTCCCCCTAACACCGAGTCAATCAGAATGCATTAAGATCTGTTGAATACACATAGATTACAAACTTTAGTCTTAATCTACTATTGAGAGTTTTAATATGAGAGCATATGGATCTAGGGCAGAAGTTGATAACATAACTGCTAAGAATTCCTCCAGTGCTTAGGAATTACAAATATCAAGGAGAAAATAAAGCTACAAATACCAAACAGGAAGTATCAGAAGCTTGGTCATACCACTTAAGTCAGCTCATTCATTTCCTCCCTCAACCTTCCCAAGAGGGATATAATTTGCCAAATTATATAGCAGGGCAATGCTCTACTATGGAGCGATATACCCACCCCAGGCTCATTTTTCTTCTTTTAAATCTTTATGCATCTTAATTAAAATATAATAATATCATTTTCCTCTTTCCTTTTATCCTCAAACTATACTCAAGTTCCCTTCCTCCTACTCTTTCAGTGATCCCTCCCAAATTAATAGTCTCTTCTTCCCTAATTATTGTTACATATATCTATATATCTACTCTATATCTATCTATCTATCTATCTATCTATCTATCTATCTATCTATCTATGTATCTAGCATTGTTACATATATGTATATGTACATGTTTGCACAGATATATAAATACAACCTGTTGAGTCTTTGTTGTTGTGTGTGAATATGCTTTCAGGGCTGTCACTTGGTCAACCAACTAGACCCCTCATCCCTAGGAGAGGCTAACTCTCCTCTCTCAGCAGCCTATCAGCTGCCTGTAGTTTCTTGACCAGAGGTGTGATCCCCTGAGACTCCCCCTTCCTCATTAAGACTATTAGCCATTGATCAGATACTATTTATACAGAGATTTCTATGAGACTATTTCGTAGTCAGACTTCGGCAAGATATTTATAATGTGCAGTCAACAGTAGCTTTCTAATTGGAATGAAGACCCACTCAACAGGAAAGAAACCAAGCCTGGTACTAGAAATCTAGCCCAGTTCTCCAAGTAATGAAGCCATGGATCTTAAAAGAAAATCCTCTCCCATGACTTTGATAGATCTATTACATGCTAAATCTTATCCTTATACCCACAGATAAGAGTAGCCACCAAACCTCATCATGAAAGCTCTCTCTCCCTCTCTCTTTTAAGGTTTTCTTCTTTTTATTTATGTACATGAGTGTTTTTACTCCCTGAATGTCTGTGCACAACATGCCTGCCTAGGTGAAGCACAGAAAAGGGCATCGGATACCCTGAAACTGGAGGTACAGACAACTGTGAACTGACATGTGGATGTTGAGAATCCAACCTGGGTCTTCTGGAAAGCAGCCAGTGCTCTTAACGGCTAAGTTATCTCTCCACTCCCAAGAAGGGATCCCAAGTCCCATTGGATACACCTGTATCCCAGGTCCTGCATCTATAGCTCAGGGAATATCATGTAAGAGGGCAAGTTGTACACGAGCTAGAATACCGGGAAGTCAGCTGTGAAGGCCTCTAGAAGTGACCTTTTAAAGCTAAGTAAGTATTTTTAGTGTTTTCCTCATAGAATGTTTTCCAAAATGCTTCAAACCTTTCTGCATCTTACGTGATGTTCCCATACAGTAGAATGACAATGTCTGCTGTTCAATAATATTAAAGCTTGGTCTTACACAGGGTGACTTGGTTGCAGTCTAGTCTAAGCTATCCTATCAAACTGGTTTGTTTGTTCTTCTGTAATAACAGGCTATTGTATTGTACTTTTATTCTAAAATTTTTATGAAAATTTAAAGTTCTCCTGACATTTAGAAAACATTTTATAAATGATGTTGAATAAAAAAGTAATTTATATTTACCAATATTTCATTTTCTGGTTGAAAATTAGCTTGCCTCTACTCTAAATTTTTTTCAGTTCTTATTTTTAAAAACACCCAATTGAATTATTATTTTATTTGTACATTTGCAGATATTTCTCTCTGTTTTACTTATCAAGTAATTTCTTAAATACTGTAATTTACCGCAAATTTATATACTAACATAAATGAATTAATTCTAATTCATGGCATATTAAGTATAATATTTTAACACTACATTTCAAGTTGCCTTAACAATTATAGATACACATTTCAGCATTAAAAATAAGGGATTTTTAAATTAACATTTGACCTCTTCTTAAAATATTTTGTTCTGAGCAAATGTATCAGCACTGGATTAGATAATTGTAATTCTCTTGCGGATGTAAATATTTCTATTCTCTCTCCAGGGCAGAGAAGAGAAGCTCTCTGGTGTGTCCTGTAGAATCCCTCTAGTCCTGATGATGGAGATCCTGCTATCATTAGAATATTGCCACTGCCTTTCACCTCTGTGGGGGATAGGTGAGTGGACTAACAGTATATTATCAAATACTTACAGGTAGAGTGAAGAAATAGTATGTCATGAAATACATTTTCATTCCCCCTTTTTAATCTCTCACAAAATTTGCACAATATTCATGAAATGTTTAATTATAATAATCACAGTACAAAGAGAATTAAATTTATCATGATGGTAGAATATAATTTTTAAAAAGTCTTTGACATATCAGAACTAAGGGAATGTTTATATTATCAGTCTGTTGCAGAGTTGGCTTTTAGAGAATGCTAAAATACTATCATCAATATTAACTCAGCTACTCAAATATTTAGATGACTTTTGTTGCTGTTTGACAAATACTGGACTTTCATAGACCACTCTTATCCATGCCCCAACAACAAAACAAACAAAAAATGGCGGACACAAAACAGGCCCAAGATTTCATGGAATCCTGAGAGCAGCTAACCCTATCAATTGTGCTCAGAAGTTGAAAAATAGGGCGATTCCATTTATCTCCCACCTGGCACTTTTTATCTGGAAAAGTAGTTTCTGGGTATGGCTAAGTCATGGCCTCCTCCTTTCCAACTCTCATTCTCAAAAACTCTCAGATTCTGCACAGTGTCACTAATCTTCTGCCCCCTCCAGAATGCTCAGTGACTGGGCCTTTGGATGCCTTCTCCCAGACCAGAAGTCTGCTCTCTCAGGCTGAGGTGGAACTGAGTCTTTATTTTATCATCTCCCTCTGTCTACACACTTCTTACATGTTCTTGCAGTTACTACAGCCTTGCGATAATCCCGACCTTCTTTTCGAACGTCTGCACTATACAAGTCTTTAAAATATTTTAATTTGTCCGTGACACAGTAGGAATAGAAAATAGTATACAAAAATAAATGTACAAATAAAAAATTTTAATCACAAATATTTTTTCTATTTCATCGTGGATGAATTAACATAATCAAAGCGATACATTATTTGTAATGTTTTAGTCATGTTTTGAGAAGTAGTCATATAACTGTAGGATTTGTAGAGAAAAACAATAGTTTGAAAGTTTGCTGAAAGCTCCTCTCAATGTCACTATATAAGGGCCCATTAATAATTAAGAATACAATGTTGCAACGAAGTTTACTGACAATGAGTCAAGTGAGTATCAAGATTAAGTGGAGGTATTTAAAGTCAAAATAATGTAGCTTGTATGATTTTTTAAAGATAATATTAAACCCCATTGCTATCTTGGGAAAATGGAATCATTTGGATGGACTTTTAACACTGGGCTTTTACCTGGAGCAAGGCAGGTGTCTTCCACTGATCTCCAGGACTGCTCACAGCCATTTGTATCAGTCAAGCACTGCTGCATTAAATATGCACAATCATTTGTTTGGGAAGAGGATTCATTTTCTGAGCTTAGTCTCACAGCTTGAACAACAGTGAGAACAATAACAAGAAAACAACATGTTTGCAATGTTACAGCTTGTGGCATCAGTAAGGAAAATTCACAAACAAACAAACAAACAAACAAACCATCCCACATCTGGAACTAGACGGAATCCTACCATTCCTGGGTCTATAAACAAAGAAATACTTACACATCCATGCTTGTTGCTAGACAAGCAACAATGCCAGACAGTGGTAGCACCTATCTACAGCCTTAGCACTTGGGATGGAGAAGCAGGTGGATCTCTGAGTTGGAGGCCAGCCTGGTCTGCAGAGTAGGTTCCAGGATAGTCAGGGCTACATAGAGAAACCCTGTCTCAAAACTGCTCCCCCAAAAGTCAAAAAACATTTCTTAAACAAAATTATTATTTGCCTGCTCTGTTCCTCACCTTCCATTCATTACTCGACTTACAATATTGTTATTACTATTGTTCCATCTAAACAACCTCTAAAAGGATATCCATTTTAATTTATGTGTACGTGTACTTACGCACATGTTTGTGGGTGCCCATGGAGGCCCAAAGTGGGAGTCAGATCCCCTGATGGCAAACTGCCCAAATAGGCCTTGGGAACTCAGGTTGCACCCTCATGAAGAGCAGCAGGAACTCCACCCCTGAGTCATCTCTTCCGTCCCTAAATTACTTTCTAAAAAATGTCTTTAATCACTTCCTTAACATCAAATGCAACTCTTTAAGACTGTCTCATCTGTCAACCTCTGGCTATTTTAATGATTTCTTTGGTTTGGAGTCTGTCTCTTCCTCTGGAAATGGTCTCTTCCAGGTCTCTTGATGATTAACCACCTTATACAAGCAGGGGCAGGGGGAAGAGGACGTGGAGGAGAGGGCCTCTCCCTGACACCCTTTTGGTGCTCAGTTTAAATTCTGTCTTCCGACCTTCCTCAATCTTTTTCTTTCCACTCTTCATGGAGAATCCCCTTTCTCTCATGGCTTGATGTAAAATATCTAGACTAAGGATCCTCTAATATATAATTTAATATAGTTTCAACACCAAGCCTGATAAAAAGCTATTTCCTCTTCCTGCATGCCCTAGATAAGACTCCAGATGCAGATGTACTTAACCTTGTTCCAGTCGTCTCGACTCTAAGGCGAACCTCTGTGCCTCTACTCTACACTGAACCACCATACCTTATCAGCAGCAACAGCATTAATATAGGTATCCAAACAATTCATGAAGGACTTTTTAATGCATCCTCAACTTCACTCTCCCGTATCTATTCTTGTGAAGTTTGTGCTTTTGCACTTTGAGTCATTGAATGTCCTTTTCGATCCAGTTGCTTGCCCTCTGGTTTGTTTGACTGAGTGGTTCCTTACTACACCCTATCTACGTAATGCACTTTCAGCACTGCCATTTCTTTGCTTTGTCTCTTTTGTGACTCAATAGAAAATGGCTTTCATACTCCTTATCACATACAACCCAGAAGTCTTACAGTTCTATGCCCCTTTGTGGACCACTCTCTAGTCTACAGTAAACACTCTACTTCTTGTCCTCTAGGATTTAAATGACTATGATCATTATCAATGGTTCAAGGAACTCTTAACTTCACACTTTGTTTTCTCTACAACCAAAATGGGCAAACATCCCTCTTTTGTCTCCGTAGGAGCTTAGAAATCCCTAGGGTGTAGAATTGCTCACCGTGCTGTGTGTGCAATAGGCTTGCCTGCTACACTATGTTCTCTAGGTTTACCGACCAGGTTTACAGGGGTCGTTCAGGGTTGTACTCTCAACATATAAATGCATGCTACGGGCAGACAACTAATACATGTTGACTTACATCAGACATAGCTCTTAATAGATAAGATCTACATAAATAACTAATACTCCACACAGATATTTACAAGTTATCTTCAGAGTTTTCTGAAAACAATCAAGAAAAAAAAGCAATCCAAATTGAGTCTATTTTACAATCTAGTCATTTTCTCTTCTCAAACATGCAAAACAGACACTTGCTTATTCAATTAATAGAAAAGTCTAAGAATCACAATTTAGTCAGGAATATGAACTACAAGCTTTGTTTGAGCAATGTCATTTTATTATTTCCAAAGAGGGTGTTAATTGTGAATCACCAGGGACAATGTAGAGCAGGAAGGCATTAAGTTAATCATTGTGTTATCTCTTTCCAAACCCCATTTTCTGAGAAGAATCCAAGAAAATTGACTGGGCCATATGTACTACTTCTTGAGTTTCTACAGTGGGAAGCTAGGCCCATGTGTTTAGCTCATTGGTAGTTTTCTCTTTCAAAATTCTTTTTTTAAATTTATTTTATTTTTATCTTTGTTAGTCTTTTGCCTACATGAATGTATGTGTACCCATGTACAAGCCTGGTACCTGTAGAGGGCAGAAGGAGGAATTTCATCTACTGGAACTGGAATTACAGGTGATTGTAAGCTACCATGTTGGTGCTGAGAATAGATTTTGGATCTCCTGAACTCCAAGTTGGCAAGCACATTTCAAGACAGTTATTTTTTTTTTCAATGAAAGTACAAGGTGGCTTGTACTAATTCAGAGCTCCAAAGACTAAATTAGGAATTCTTGGTTCATGCTTGATTTATAAGGAAATGACATTTATTGACTATTTTTACTTTATCTTTTGGTGATTTATTTGTTTTGAACACAATGTTTCCATATATAGCATAACCTAGTAATAAGCTCATTATTTACCTTAGACTGGTTTTAAACTCATGATCCCTGTCTCGGATTTTCCAGAGATATTATTGCAGTCACATGTTATCCTGTGAACACTTAGAAATCTCACATCACCCTCCCTAGCTCTACAGAGTGGTGACCCGTGTGATCTCTCCCTACATGTGCCTTACTTCCTTTCTCCTTCTCTACTTCTTGTTAAAAATTCCATTTGAATGTCATACCATTCTCTACACTTACTGAAGTACTTGATGTACTGAAGAAGCTATCTTAACGATTGGACCCACAAGAATCCAAAACACAGCTTTCTCTTTCCTTACTATGCCTTGCTTGTTCCTGGCTACAATTTATGGCTCAATATTTGAAGTGAGATTTGTCAAAAATTCTACTGTTGTTAAGTGAAAAATAAACTTTATGTTAAAAGTAGGAAGATAAAGAATGTTGTAAACTATGTCATCCTCTTAAGGATGTAAAAGCTCATTAGTAAAGTTACCGTTTTCCCTATGGTTTTGGGCAACAGGAATTGGCTTTGTCATAACGTGTAATTATTTAATGCTGAACAAGAGCTTTGCAGTATGCAGAGATTTTCAGTCCTAATAATGTTAGGAATAATTTCCTTTTTTTCCATGCAACCTGGTTTAGAAAAGATGAAAGCAAATGGCCACAGCCTTTTCACTGAACACCTTGAAGAGGAAGTGATATCGTTTGTGTAATCTGATATATTGCTGCAAAAATTGAAAACTAGATTTACCTTTATCACGAAGCTATAAATACTAGAAACTAATAAAAAAAATAAGGAAACATTACAGGAATGAGAAGAAGCAAAACCTCTCAACACAAGAATTTTCATAGAGACACTGAAAATGTGCAAAAGATCTTTTACTTCCTGGCTAATTTTCTTGGATTTGATTTATTTTGTTTTTCCTTTTTTTTTTAAAAAATGTAATTTGGAATAACCTACATTATTTCCTGCCTCTTATTCAGCCCCATTCATCAACCACTGTAGCCAATAGTAAAGAAAATATTCTGGTTTTGTTTATTAATATGCAATATGATCACAATTATCCCTCATCCTGAAATTGAGACAGAGACTCTAAAATATCATGAAGAAAATATTAACTTTCATCAGTCACACATCTACCAAGTGGATTTTTGTGGATTCCCTGTTAAGTGAAAATTACTTGGACCAATCTCTTATAACAACCCAACACAAGAGAGCTAAGCTCACATTTTACCTGTGGGCCATGAATGTTACTCAAGAGGCAGAGAATTTGAGCTCAGCATCTTTGGTCTACTCAGCTGATCCTGAATATTAAGGTTGAAAATTAGATGGGTCAGTCTGTGTATAAAGACTCTAGTTTTTATAATTTGCTTTTGAGGCTAAACAGATAGTTAAAACTTTGCCATCCTTTAACTTGTAAGTCTATACAGGACCGTTCTATTTTCAAGATATTCCTGCACATCTAGGAACTGCATAGATCTTAATAAATAGCTCAAAGTTATTCAGGAGTGACATGAAATAGTCACATTCTGTTATTCTATCTAGTATGAAAAAAGTGACTGCAGGTAAATGTAAACTTCTCAAAAGCACTAAATAATATCGAAGTACAAGTTAGTAACATAATTGACATTTCTTATTACATACCCCGATAAGCTTAGGCTAGATGTTACAGCATTCAGTTTATAAAAAGTTAATCTTGCAACACATTCAGAACTAGCAGCACAGTTCACTTACCCAGGAAAACAAACACTAGCATGTTGGACAACTTGAGCTGGTCACCTGGGGGAAAGGCAGATGAACTGACACCAACCAACATCCCAGCTGAAATTTCTGAATAGCTTTCAGTTTCTGCTTTTGCTTCCTAAGAGCACAGCCAATTAGAGTCAGCTTCTGATGTCACACCATTTCCTTACCAATTTGTTTTGAGCTGTGAACTTTCCTAATTATATTCAAATTCAATTGTTCTCAGTGTGTGAACCCAGGATATTATGCTTCCATGAGAGCTTGCAAACCAAATAACATGGGAAGTAATACATCCTTGGCGTTCAACTAGAACACTAAGCTTTGCCTCCTGAATGTAACAGTCTTCCAAGAAATTTGACCATGAAGTCCCCTATTCATGAATAGTTCTTATTAAGTCAACTGCATATAATGTAAGCAATTTAAGGATACAGAAAAGAAGCAAAGGCAACCAAGAATAATTATTTCAAATCCAAGTTACATTCAAATGAGAAACTGATTATGTCTCATGTTTACAAATTCGTCAGACTCCAAGATGACTAAAAGTGACATGTGACATGTCTTTAGTTCTTTAAAACTTGGGGTTAAAAAAATTACTCCTGTCAGGGATGTATAACTTCTTCACAGGAAGTTAACTCTCCACCATCTCTTCCTTGAACTGTCTTGGATGCTGTAGTTCCTCACTTAAGTCTAGAACTTCCTTGAAGTCTGATGAGACCGTTACTCTGATTCCTTTGTAACTCTGTGTCTAGTAAATAGAAAGTATTATGTTTGGCAAGGACATAAGATAAAAATGGGTAAATGAAAGAGAAGTATCTGTTCCCACAGTCACATAACTTATTGCTTTGATTATGTGGTTAATGTTCATTTTACAGAAAAAGAGAAATTAGATTCTGTTTTCAGAATGCATGGTTTCCTAAAACCCAGCGAACTGAAACTATAACATAAATTATCTCTGTAGGTTTAGTAAATGAGTTAATATCAGACATTACTTCTCTGAAAATGGATTGATTATATCATGGTTGTAAATCACATTATGCTTGAATGTATAGTTTTTATAATAGAAGTCTGCTATGGCAACATTATACCCACAGTTCTACTTAATAGGAGAAATATAAAACCATAAAAATTAATCTCCTGTATTTCTGAAGGCAAGAAATAAATCAGAGTGGACAAAACCCAATGATACACAAAGTATAGCAGTGACTTTTGTGAGTAGCCTCCAGAATCAGGATATGTAATTCACTGCAACATTTTGTGAGAGGCAATTGCTAAATTTTGCTGAGTTCCAAGGCCTAGATTCCACCTCCTGATAGAGAAGTACCAGCACAACATTGCAAACACAGTGTATGAAAAGAGATATATCTTGGTGAGTTAATAATTAGAAGATAAAACCTGACATACCTTTTAAGCACCAACAGATTTCCTCATTGACTCATGCTGGCTCATGGTTATGTGATTATACTTCAATATAATACCTACCATAATTTCCATCATGCTCCTGCTGGTTTCATTACTTTCCCTCCCAGTTTGACCCTGTGTTACACAATTGTTCACATTTTCCCTTCTGGTACCCATTGTGATCCCCAAATACAGTAAATATATCAACCTCTAAGGTTAATTTCCTTCTCATGTAAGTAATCACACTCAGTAATTGAGAAATAGTATTTCTTAGTTTACTGGCTGAATTAGTCAGGGTTTTCTAGAGTATTAAGAATTACAGAATCTCTCTGTGTGTGTGTTTCTTTCTGTCTGTCTCTCTCTCTCTGTGTCTCTCTGTGTCTCTGCTTCTGTCTCTCTGTCTCTGTCTCTCCCTCTCTGTCTCCCCCCTCTCTGTCTCCCCCCTCTCTGTCTACTCCCCCTCCCTTTCCCCCCTTGCTCTGTGTGTGTGTTTGTTTGTGTGTGCGTGTGTGTAATTTACAGGCTATGGTCCAGCTAATCCAACAATGGCTTACATAGAAGGTTCAAGAACCCAGTAGTTGTTTAGTCCAGAAGGCTGGATATATCATCTGATCTTCAGTATACACTAGAATCCTAAAGAAGCAGGCTTCAATGCCAGTGAAGAAGATGGATTTGCCAGTGAGAGCAAGAGGAAGCAGGCAAAGAGCAATTGCTTCCTTCTTCTATGTCCTTATATAAACTTACAGCAGAAGCTATGGGTCAGATTGGAGGAGACCCTTCCTACCTCAAAAGATCTGAATTAAAGATGTCTTCCCACATCAAAGATGAGTATTAGAACTGGACATTCCCCACTTCAAATTAAGCAAAAATCCTTCACAGGTATGCCCCTTCTGCTTTGTATTTAAGTTAATTCCAGATGTAGTCAAGTTGACAAGAAAGAATAACCATCACATTGGTGATTTTTGTAATCCCATTGCTTTAATTTTTGCCTCGACCAGGACTTTTGATACCAGTAGCACTTTCTCAACTGTACTCTCTGAGATGACTCCTACAAACATCCACATGCAATTAAAATCTGCCTCAGTGCAACTCTCCCCACTTGGCAAACATCTAGCTCCTTGTTACAGAAATCTTTCAATTTTTGACAGTGTCTCCAGTCTTTAATTTCTAAAATGAATGTTCAGTTGTATTTTCATGGAAATAAGAACCCAATTCTTCATTTTTTCTTGTTTGTATGCATAGCTGCTTTTCATCTATTGATTTTAAAGTACCCTATTCCTCTCAGTGACTCGCCATGTATCTTTCACTCTCTTCCACCCTCACCATCTCTCTCTCTATCTGTCATCTTCCGTCTGCCTCTCTACACTACTCTATTTTCATTATCTCTCCTTCTTCCTTCCCACTTCATATACATAATCTTATTCAGAGCTTTCAGGCATTTGTTGCCAATCTTGATGATCTGAGTTCAATCCTAGGGATCCATGTGGTAGAATAAGAAAACTGAGTCCAAGAAATTCTAAACTCTTTTCCACACACATGAGTTCACACAAAACAAGTAAATGCAAGAAGTTATTTTGAATTTATGTCACTTCTTCACATTTTGTTTGTTTATAATCAAGTAGCATTAAAAAGTATACACTTTTTCCTTTCCCTCAGCGCTCAGGTGAAAACCTGAGGAAGAGGAGGAAGACCAGTGTAAAAGCTAGAGAGAATAGAGAACACCAAGAAAACAAAGCCCCTAAATGAACATGACCAAAGCTTGCATGAACTCACAGAGACTAAAGAAGCATGAACAGGGTCTGCATGGGTCTGCACCAGGTCCTCTGCATATAGATTGAGACTTTTAGTTTATTGCTTTCATATAATTCTTGAATGTATGAATGGGTGGGTCTCCGATTCTTGTGCCTTCTCTTGGGCTCTTTTCTATCTGTTGGTTTGTCTTGTCCAACTTCAGTGTGAAGGCTTTAGTTTGACCTTACTATATTTTATTTTGTTGTATTTTATTTTTATCTTTTAGAAGCCTGTTCTTTTCTAATGAGAGACAGAAATGGAGTATATCCAGATGGGAGAGGTAAATATTGGCTTACAGTAAATTCTACCTGGCTCTTCCCTGGAACCTAGCAACAGAGACCTAGCAATAGCTACGAGGTACCAGCTAGCCAGGCATGGCAGCTTAGAAGAAGACTGCTCTGCCTATCCCACTCTGTCTCCCAACTTCATTCTCTCTTTATTTCTCCCCACATGTTCCCAGTCTCTTCCTCTCTTCCTCTTTCTTTTCCCTCTCTCTGTCCTTCTCTGCCTTCCCTTTTCTCTATTTCTACCCCTTTCCATATGCATGCTTTCCTCCTTTCCCCCCGTAATAAATCTTTATAGTGGGCCTATTGCATAGCATGATTCATTAGGGGGACAACTCAGCATGGGCTCACCAAGGTATTCTCCCCTCTGCATTATACTGTGTTATAAAACATAGCAGTAGGGAAGAACTAGGAGGAGTAGAGGGAGAGAAAATTGTAATCAGAATATCTTTATTGAGAAAATCTATTTTAATTGAAAGGGAAAAACATATTCTCAGATAATTCTGCAAAATACTAATCTTGATATACTATAATAGAATTTAGGTGAGCATATCTCTTTATGCTACCTGACAAGAAAACTGCACACAGGATGGGTGTATTCGAACGGAACTTGTCAAGTGGCCTTTGGTTTCAAAGGATCAAATGATAAAAACAACTCTAAAATAAACAAATGAACAAAATGCATTTTAATGTTTGAACTAATATTTATATTTATATTTATATTATTTGTGTATACTATAAACTATAATTTGTCCTAAACATTTGGTTTATGTTTCATCATTTACTTTTCCAGATTGCTTATGATGTAGAAATAGTATTTTATGACTGGAGAGAAGGCTGAGTTAATAATATGCCTACTGTGCAAGCTTGGCGATCTGAGTTTGGGTCCCAACATCCAAGAAATGGTGGGAATAGTGGAATCCACCCATAACCCTAGGACTTGAGGGGCAATGAGTTTTGGAAACAGTAGATACCTGAAGTTAATAGGCCACACAATTTGGCCAATTTGACGAATAGCAAGGTAAATAATAGTTTTTTTTTTTAAAACAAAACAAAACACCATCCAAAGAAGAGCCTTGAGGTGGATCTTTGACCTCCTACACACACACACACACACACATACACACACACACACTCAAACATGTCATGTATATCCACATACATATGTGTACATACACTGCATACACACACATGCACACACACTCAAGCACACAAAAAATGTATTTTACTAATATTTTTGATAGTCAAAAAGATATTTCAACATTTTAAGAACAAACTGTGCTCTATACAAATGTATTATATATACATTTCAATAGATTTATAGAGACAATTATTTTAGGTTCATATTTAACATTTGAATTTTATCCAGTTCTTTTATATTTGTAGTGTTTATGTTTTGATAGTATATTCTCAAATTTATAGTAGTTTATGACTTTGGGTTGTACATCTAATCCTGGCACAATTCCTCTTTTATTATATTTTTACCTTAATGTTTACTTTGCCTAGTTAACACTAACTGTATTTTTGCTTGTACATGCCA